TCCTTGACTTCTCATAATCTCTCGTGCTCCGCCCAAGGTTAGGGGTGACGGTTGTGGGTTTCTCCCTAGGGTTTCTCTTCGGTTAGAAGTTCCTCCCTCTTCCTTTTCTTCTTCGACAAGGGTTTCTCCTCTTGCTCTCTTCCTCCATCATTGTCGTTTGTCTTGCTTTGGAAACTTCAACCCAAGGGATCACAAGGCAACGGCTCCTTTCGATCTGCATCGGCTGTTGATTTTTGACAACTGCGTCTGGATACCGAGGGACTTGATTTGGCCAGTGGTTGGATTTCTCCCATCCTCTGAATCGGATTTTCACTTATGCATGTCTCCTCAGATGAGATCTTGGCAGGGGTGGCAATCGGAGAAACTAGCGCACTTCACTTTCCGATCTAACAGCCAAATACCGATAAGGCTACAGTGGCACGTCGGGTTCTGATCTGCACGGGAGCATGCTACTCACGTTGGCAAAAGGGCTCTAGTTCCCTTATGCTCTGTTTGGGAACATGAATTTGGTGAAATGTATTTGAATTTCAACCTTTTAAATTCAATATCGCTGTTTGTTTTTACTTAAATAAAAAGTAATTGAATTTTAAAAGAATACATGTATTTCACCTGTGTAATTCAAAAGGCTAAAATTCGTGTATTTCAATTTCACTCTCAAACCCATGAATTTTGATTTCAAATTGAATTTTCTCTGCACTCTCTTCTCTCACCGACGACGATAAAACCTCCATTGTCCGTCCATCTTCTCCTCTACCATTGCTCTCCACCTTCTCATCGTCGGTCACTCACCACTTCGCCGGGATGGAGAAGGAAGGACAATGTGGTCGGTACATCACGTAGAGGACTATGTCGGTGATGGAAGCGAGGAGGGCAAGGATGAGGAGAATCATAATGGACTAGAAGCAACATTGACAGCAAAGGTTGCGCTGGGAGCGGTAGTGGTGGCGGCGGTTGTAGGGAGGAGGGCGGTAGGGAGGCTGGGAGGTGGGATTATAAAGCTTGGACTTGGTGGGTCCACCGTTGGTGGTTGCAGTTGTGGTTCCGGCACCATTCATGGCGACAGCGACGGTGTTGGTAGGTTTGGTGGAGGGGAAAACTCTGTTTGTCATTGTAATCGGAAAACCATAAAAAAAAAAAAAAGAAGAAAGGGTTCAGATTTGCAGGGCAGTGGCTATTGGAAGAGTGAGATTTGAAGACAGAAAAATGAGGCGTAGATTTGGCCACCTCACTAGAATTGACGAATCTCTTATACTTCTAATTCCACTCTATAAAAATTTAATGGAGGAAAAAGTATTTTACACTTAAGAATGTTTTAAGTTTGTATAATTTTAACTAATTAATAAAATAGGCTTTTTTTTGTATTTAATAATGTTTATTTTATAATTTAATAAAATTTAAATTATAAAATTAAAAAAGTTATTTTTTTTAAACAAAACAAAATAAAGACAATTAAGGGATAATTATAAGT